TATATATATATATATATATATATATATATATATATATATATATATATAGAGAGAGAGAGAGAGAGAGATGTGGGTGGGGTAGGATGAGGTGGCAAGGGTGGGCTGTGGGCCCTTTTCTTACTTAAATAAGTAAAAGAACTAAAGAAATAGAAAAAAAAATCCATGGGCTAAAAGAGTCTTCTAAGTTTGGGAGAGGACTAAATCACAATGAAAGCAGGCTAAAATGACCAAAACCACAATTTTACAAATCATTGGACTGGATCCAAAGAAAATGACAAACCACAGGGACCAATTTAGCAAATTTTTCTAAAAGAAAAAAATGAACCATCCTGTGATAGAAATCAAGTCAAGTCCGTTTGGGACATATATGGAATTAGAGGTATATTAGATTTGTCATTTCAAAAAGAATGCAAAAAGTCTTTGACTCTTTGGCTCTTCTGTATGCATGATTTTTTTATTTTATACTTAAAAAAAAACAATTCCCCTTATTGAAAAAAAAATAAAATCATCAATTAAGGACTGAGAACTATTCTTTTCCAGTATCGATGTCATTACTGAGATTTCTAGCAATATTTGAAGCTAAACTTCTTATTTGCCCATTTTTAACATTACAAAATACTCCAGAAAGATCCTTACTTTGTCGTGGAGGAGGGAATTCTAGACATTCTATAATGGTCTTTATTAAAAAAACACTAGGTGTGAAACCTGTGTACTACACGGGTATAAAAAAAGTTTAATATAAAATTATAAGAATTATATATTTTTGAAAGTAATAGTTTTATATAAATACAAAGAATATAATAAATAAAGTAAGTAATTTAATATATAATATAAGATATTTGAATGGTTGTAGAGCATTTATTATGGAATTTAATAGAATAATCTACTTTACATATATAAATCTCTCTAAAATGTGGATTTTAAATTTAAGAAAATGAAAAATACAAGAAAATGACAAGTGAAAAAAAAAATTCAAAAAAACTTTTAAAAAATGGCATGTGTCAAATTCAATGAGAACATGACATTTTGCAAAATTGATTTTCATTTATTAGGTTAGATACTTTCCCGTCAAACAATTTCACTTTTAAAGTTTAAGCCTTATAAGGAAAGAAGCCTCACATGGTATGCCAAGGTTCACCTATCTAATCCATAAACATATCTCTTGTTTTTTTTTCCTAATATCATCAAATATTTAGGAGTAAAAATGTATATAATTTAAAAAAAATGATCCCTTTGTCTACAACGATTAGATATATTGTAATCGATGTAGCATTTGAGACAATAGTGGTTATGAACTAATAACTGAACTTAACATCGAGCCCTTCGAGTTTCTATGTTACTCTAGCACGTTTTTGGTTAAAACAAATGTTTTTAAGGTTCTATTTGTATATTGCCCTAATAGATTTTTTTTTTGGATGCTTTGGTGGTTGTTTAACACTTTAACTATTAATCATTTAGCGTTGATGGTTAATTTTGTTCAAATATTTAGGTTTAGTAACTTTCATTAATTCATATGTTAGTTATATGCAATTTTTTGTGAAGTGTTATTTCTCCCCATTACAAATGTCAAGATATTCAGTTCTCTTGTTAGAGCTTATTTTGGCTAATTGATAATAACTATTTCAAACCTACTTATGTTTATAGTTTATACACTTTGCTTTTCTTTGGATTTGGTTTTACCGCTAAACTAGTAAAATAGTTTATTTTCCAACTTGCAAGACGGGTACATTTATTTGTAGTTAGCCTTTGTTTGGCAAAAAATAAGCTATCTTATTGTAGTTAATAAAGTAGCATATAAGCTAGCTTATCGATAAGCTCGTTTGAGATAGCTTATGGATAAGCTAGCTTTTCAGCTGGTTTGCCAAATAGGGCCATTGTCAATTATGAAAGACATCTTTTCCAATAGTAACTATAAATTTTCTAATCTAATTATGTCACATGATAATAAATTTTTAACCATGTAGTTCCATTTTAAAATTATTGTTGTTCTACCCACATCAAGTATTGACTCATAAGGAATAACAAGTATCACAATCTATATGACATATGCAATATGCTCCAATGCAGCTTCCAATGGATTCCTCTTGTTATGCTCCCAAAAACTGATACAAGGAATTCTAATCATTTAGACATATCATCGTCGTCTTTGCATATAACAATAATAATCCTCATATGGTCTATTAACTCTTACAAATGGATTTTAGAATACATTCAAGGACCAAATTTCATAGAAATCTAAACATAATTCTAATTTGAGGCTTAAGCTAAGATTGTAACATCTCACTATATTATGTCATCATTTATTATTTAGGGTTGTAAGAACCCTAATCCACTCCTAAACTGCCAATACTTGTGTCTTTGTGAGTCCATACCAATTATTTACATCAGCAAAGTTAACATATGTCGATATCACCATTTTCAACTTCAAATAGAGTTTCAAGTACTCTTTCTTTTACAAATTTATCATTCACACCTTCCAATCCAAGTTAACACTTTCGTACAAGTTTTGATTTAATAAAGACATGTGCTAAGGGTATTCTAGCTATTTCTCAGTTAGGTCGGTTATTAGCTTAGCATAAATAAATGGTTTTGGTAACTTCGTTAGTTAGCTATTGTTTTAATGTTAAACTATGTTCTTGGGAGAGAACTAACCTCTCAAGAAGCTAGGGTTCCTTTGTAATAACTCCTTTTCTAATTTAATCATTACATTACAATCTATTCAATTCCATTCTATTCTCTACTACTAGACCTAGATTGTTACACACTCGCCAAAAACCTAAAACTTGTATTTTTAAAAATATACCCATTAGATGTGAAATTAATGTTTGTTTGAAAAATTAAACCGACATCTTTTTAGGGTTTCCAACAAACAATTAAAGAAGTATTAAGGGTTTCATCACATTCCACTTGTTCACCCCAAGATCCCAAAATCATAACACTAATTGCATTTTTTTTAAATAGAAAGTTTATACCTTAATTGGGATGTTAATATAACCAAAGATGTTAGAAATCTTCATATTTTCAAGTATAAGTTTCGAGTTTATAGGAAGTGGCTAACTTGGATTGGAAAGTATGAATGATAAACTTTAAAAAAGCCCAATGGAAACTCTATTTGGAAGTGGAAAATTATGATATCGGTATGGATGGAGGGAATCCATCTCTCCCAACCCACATGACACATACGCACCACATCAACTTCTATATCTCCTTTCACTTCCAATCCTCCATATCCATAACACCTGGAATTCATGCCTCCCAATCCACACCTTTTGGTATAAGTTATGATGCATATGATACAAGTGGAGAGGAAAGAAAAGAGAGTGGGAGGAGCGGGTTAGCCAAGCCTAATATGAGGCACTAAATCACAAGTATCGGAAATTTAGGAGTGGATTAGGGTTCTTATAACGATAAATAATAAATGATGGCATACATAAAATGGGAAATCACACTCTTAGGTTAAACCTCAAATTGGAATTATATTTACATAACTTTCCATGAAAATTGGTCCTTAAATGTATAGTAAAATCCACTTGATAATGAATATATAATCAAGGTGAGTTACGAGTGATGTTTGTAGCATGGCATATTAATGCCATAGTTGTTATACCTTATAAGTAAGCACTACAAATAGATAGATCAGTTATATGCCTTATAAGTGACTACCACTGAAACCTCGGTTCGTTACTCACTAAGCTTTAAGCTTACCCGTTCTTATGGTTGAAATATGCTACAGTGCATGCCCTAGTGATAAATGAAATAATTATAGTATGCTAATACAAAAGTAGATACTATCACATAGAAATTAAGTCAGAAGCTCAATGTTAAAAAAAAAGAAAAAATAACTCCTCTTTTTCGAAAACCAAAAATAGAAAAAGCAAATCATCAATGAAAGATGAAATATATGGAAACCGTTATAAAAAAATTTAAAAGCCATAAATTTTATAAAGCTCAATAATAAAAATATCGTATTTAACTTTGTAATTTTATTTTAGTTATCTAAATTAATAAACTTTTTAATTTATTGGTTTTCTATTTTTATTATTAAACTTTATAATTTATGGTTTTTAAAATATTGCAAAATTTCTTGTCATGTGTGGATAAACTTTAGTTTACTAATATGTATCATTTATATTCATCCTAGAGACGTGCAGAAGCAGAGTTTAGAGCATTAGATCATAGTCGTGAAGGGATTGAAAACAATATCAATGAAAGTAAACAATAATCCCCTTAAAATTGAAATTTTAAAACAGTATCAATCCAGACCTGATCTTTTCCAATAAGGCTATAACTATTTCATGTTGTTTTAGATGTCTTTTAGCAATATATAAGTCATTCTATCAAAGATTCAAACTGAACTTTCAAAATTACAAGCATATTCAAATCATGAAATATTTTATCCAACAATAATAGTCCTAATGTATACATTTCCACAGATAAAAGCTGAATAATTAAAATAACTATGTATGAGCTGTATCGTGTTACTTATTATTGGTAAATAATTTATTTATAGTATGCAATACAGCAGTAGATACTAGCATATAGACATTAATTCATAACCTCATTGTTAAGAAAAAAAAATCAGCTATCTTGTGATAGAATAAAATTAATTGCAGAAAGTCTCTTTACTCTTTTGTATGCTTAATAAGAAAATAAATCAATTCCCCTTTTCAAAAATCAAAAATAGAAAAAGCAAATCATCAATGAAGGATAAAAAGTATAGAAAATAAGAATCTGAGAGTATAATAATCATCTTAAAGGACAATAATATTATCTAAAATAGATATGAAATTAGTGCTTAAAGGGTCAACAAGTCTCTACTCCAGTTCATGTTTTTTTATCACTTGATGTTATTTTAAGTAATTAAATCTATAGTTTTAACATATCAGGATAATCTAATGGAAGTAGAAATAATGTGACAATAAACACAGCTGTTTGTAACGGTTGTAATATGGTAGATGATATATATCTTGGATTCCAAATTTAATACAATTCAATCTATAATATTTTCATTTTGAAAGTAATAGATATTCAATTACAAAATCTCCATATATGATGTAACACTTATCCTTTTCCAGTTTACAGATATTTCGAGGCAAACATATGAAGGTGAAATTACATATTTACACATTTTTAACATTGAAATAACAATTTATGTCCCCTTTCTATATCCTACTACAGGAGGGTATTTTAGACATTTAATTAATGGTCATTATTACAAAAATACAATATGGTCAAACTATAACACTTTATGGTATTGAGAGTAAATGCCTTTACTTAAACAACTTTGACACATTTTCATTTCACTTTAGCAAAAAAATTGGCTACCTCTGTGTTCTCTCTTCATTTCTGTGAAGGAAGAAAGATGAACCCTATTGAGGTATGCAAAGGTTCACTCAATGTAATCTATTTTTTATCTTATAAATCCATTAAATATTTAGGGGAAATTTGTAGATCATTTCAAATGATGTGGATCCTTTTTTCTACAACTAATTTTATATATTGGCATTGATGTAGCATTGCATCAATACAAGTTGTTTTCCTTTTAATTTCTGAACTTAAAATGGAGCACTTTGAATTTCTATGTTACTCTACACCTTTTGGGATTTAATTTTTATACAGGGGCGACCCTACACTGGGGCAGTGTGGGTGCCTACCCCCTAAAAGAACTAAAATAGTTTTTTTTTTTTTTTTAAATGTTCAAGGTTTTTTTTTTTTTTTTTTTGTAAATTGCCCACACAGATCTTTCTAATTTGGCGGGTTTTAGTACTTATTTAACGATTTATGATTTAGTGTTAGTATTATTTTTGTTCAATAAATTAGGGTTCCTTATTTCAATTAATTTGTATGTGTGTACACACACACACGAATTAATTGTGTTTATGAACCCTAAGTTTTTTTTGAAAATTGCCCCAACAGATCTTTCTGATTCGGGGGATTTCAGTGTTTATTTAATGATTAATGAGTTATGATTTAGTGTTGGTGTTATTTTTGTTCAATAAATTAGGGTCCCTAGTTTCAATTAATTTGTGTGTGTACACACTGACGAATTAATTGCATTTATGAACCCTAAGTTTTTTTGAAAATTGCCCCAACAGATCTTTCTGATTTGGGGGATTTCAGTGTTTATTTAACGATTTATGATTTACTGTTAGTGTTAGTGTTATTTTGTTCAATAAATTAGGGTTCCTAATAGCAATTAATTTGTGTGTACACACCCGAATTAATTGTGTTTATGAACCCTTAAAGTTTTTTTGAAAATTGCCCCAATAGATCTTTCTGATTTGGTGGATTTCGCTGTTTATTTAATAATTAATGATTTATGATTTAGTGTTACTGTTATTTTTGTTCAAGAAATTAGGGTTACTAATTTTAATTAATTTGTGTGTGTACACACACGAATTAATTGTGTTTATGACCCCTAAGTTTTTTTGAAAATTACCCCCAAAGATCTTTCTGATTTGGGGTGTTTCAGTGTTTATTTAAAAATTTATGATTTAGTGTTAGTGTTAGTATTAATTTTTTTGTAAATAAATTATGGTTTCTAATTTCAATTAATTTGTGTGCGTTAATGTGTACACACACACAAATTAATTGCATTTTAAGAACCCTAAGTTTTTTTGAAAATTGCCCCAATAGATCTTCCTGATGGGTGTTTCAGTGTTTATTTAACGATCTATGATTTAGTGTTAATCTTATTTTTGTTCAATAAATTAGAGATCCTAATCTCAACTGGTGTGTGTGTAGTCTGAGTGAGTGAGTGTGTGTACACACACACACAAATTAATTGCATTTACCAACTTTAACTTTTTTTGTAAATTGCCCCCACATATCTTCTGATTTTTGGGGGGTTTTAGTGTTTACATAACTATTTATGAGTTAGTGATTTAGTGTTAGTGTTATGTTTGTTCAATAAATTAGGATTCATGTGTTGTTGGTTTATATATATATATATATATATATATATATGTTCATTTTTATTTCTTCTGTCAGTGTTATTTTTGCCTCGTTTTGGACAAAAAATTGGATCTGTCATGGGTCTCATCTATATAGGTAACAAGCAGAAGGAGCAATTCAAACCAGTTTATTTCAAAATGGGTCATTTAGTGTTACAGCATACTACCTAATGGTCCAAATGGGTAAAATAAAATTTTAAAAAAAAATTATCTGAAAAAGGAAACACATCAAACAGTTTAAATGACCACCGAGGTATATTTAGGTGTTTATAACCTCCTAAATTCTCTTCTTCAAAAAATTAAAATCATTAATTTGAAAACAGTTATGATAATTATAATTTAATATGTTAACTATTAACAAGAATAGGACACCTTGAGGAATTGTATATAAGACACATTTAGAAAGTTTTAGTGTTTTGTTGTTTCTGTAGCATTAAACCTTTTTTTTCTGTTTTACATTCTGTTACAGTTTCTTATTTTGGTTGGTTGACAAAAATTATTTCAAACCTAGTAATTATGTGTCTACACTTTGTTTTTCTTTTGGTTTGGTTTTAACACTACATAAAAAAATAAATTATTTTCCTAACTGCAAGACAATCACTTCTTATTTATCGACTTAAGTTCATTTATTGTTGTCGATTGTGAAAAACTATGCCTTTATTTATAAACTTACTCAGTATTTTGTGGTTTTTATTGTTCCAATAGTAACTACGAGTTTTTTAATCTAATTATGTCACTTCATGTTTCTAATCATATACTTCCACTCATAAAAACTTTTTGTTCTTGAAATTGAAATTCTTGTCATATGTCGTGATTATTATGTTCAATCAAAATACCTTTTTAACCAACTACCACTCTTTTATTCTTCTGTAAGATATACGCATATGGAACAACATATTATAAATATGTCAAGTGTGCAATTAAGAATAGGGACAAATATCTTAATTTTTTTGTGAAAATCAGCACTAAGGAGAGATTTTCAATCGATAAATTAACTCAAATATGTTCTACTTCAAAAAACTATATATATTTATCTAGCAAAGGCAAACACAAACATGCATATTAAACAATTTTAATGGAATATAAAATGAGCAAGTGATGATGTGTTACCTGCAGTCAGACATTTCTTCAGAGAGTCTTCAAATGCACTGATGAAAACAAAATAAATTGTGTTAAGTTGCATGCATACATACTTACTTACATATACATACAGATACAATGCACACATACATACACATGACTATGAGGAAACTATATAAACATGATGATAATCTGCAATCTGTTATTGAAAGGGTTTTGTTTGTGTAGGAGGCTGCAGGAGATGTGAAGTGGGTGAAGTCGTTTGTATCAAAGACATTTTTTAAGGCTTGTAGGGCCCACAACGGCTTTTACGGCAATGAAAACAAGTACTGCATTAATTGTGAGCAGGCTGCATGCTCACATTGTCTGGCAGAAGGGAGACATACTAATCATAAGGTTATAAAAATATTCAGACTTGTCTATATGGATGTGGTATCCATGGATGAAATGACTGCATTCCTCGATTGCTCAAAGATACAGGTATTTTCTCTTTATTATAAATGCAAACCTTGATATATTACATTAAATATTAAGTAGTAAACATTATGAATTGAATCTTTGCCACATCCAAACCTCATAGCACCAACAAAAAGAACCTAAATACCAAAATGGGTTATTTACAACTATAACAAAATCCTAATATAATTAGACTATTAAGAAGATTCGATTGTAATTATGTGTTGCTAGTTTAGGGCGATTAGTTTCTAAAAATTTAACTTAAAGTGTACGAGTGAATCTTCGTTGAGTTGTTTTTTCCTAAATTTATGTTTCTTAAAATAGTAAGTTAATGAGATTTAATAGATTTAGTAAAGAACCCATCATTGATATATAATGTACCTAAGAAAAAGGTTGTCTTTTTATTTAATAAAGATTATGATGTTTTTCAATGTGAAGCGTGTCAATTTTCCAAACATGTACAAACATCATGCACACCCTAGTCCTCTAATGGTCCTTGTCAATTTCACATGGTTTATGTTAGTTAGATTGGTATAAGATATTTGGAATCCTGGATTTTCTATCCAAAGGAGCCCTTAAGAAGAGAGGGTAGACTCCAAGATATATTGGGGTGAATGTGACGTTGTTTAGCTGACATAGGACACTAACATGCCCCTTGAGAGGGCGGCTCGATGAAATTAGACTAGATGTTTTGAGACACTGGCTCTGATATCATGTTAGTTAGATTGTTATAAGGCGAGGTTAGTTGCAAAAGATTCATATAAGCCTATCGCATTGACTATATACTAAGACCTTTGGCTTGTTGCAAAGCTTAATATTGTTCGGATCTTGCTTATACTAGCAGTAAATTTGGATTGGTCTATTCATCAGCTCAACATAAACAACGCATTTCTCAATTGCAAGCTTGAAGAGGAAGTATACATCTATCAAGCGCCCGGATTTGAAGAACAAACAAGGAATCCGATGTGTAACATAAACATATCCCTTTACGGCTTGAAGCAGTCTCCACATGTGTGATTTCAACGGTTGTCAGGTGTCATCAAGGAGAACGGATTCTTTCAAGAATGTTCGGTCACAATGTTCTTCAAACATTCAAAGCTTCGTAAGCTTACAATTCTTATTGTGTATTTAGATGACATTATAGTCCCAAGGATTGATGATCTAAGATACTAAAGAAGTAAAGAAGATCATGTCAAAGGGGTTACGAGTCAAAGATCTCGGTGCACCTAGTTACTTTCTAGGAATTGAAAAGTAGTAAAGATATTTCCACACGAAGAACGTACACTTTAGACCTTTTCAAGGTATGCTTGGGTGCAAGCCAAGTAAAACTCCTATTGGAGTTGAGGGAGTCTTATCGACATATGAAACTATCAACACTTTGTTGGAAAACTAACATACCTCTCGTACAGAAGACCTAACATAGCTTTCATTGTAAGTTTTGATAGCCAATACATGCATGCTCCCCGCCAAGGACATCTAATGTTGTCTAAAGAAGTCTAAGGTACCTAAAGAGCACTCTTAGGAAAGGATTGTTCTTTGAAAGAAGTAAGACACATGCATGCTCCCTTGACTATCGAAAGTCAACGTTATGGTGTGTAACCTTGTAAAATGGAGAAGTAAGACACATGCAGTTGTTGTTAGAATCAATGTTGAGGCCGAATACAACTCGACACATGGTATGTGTGAACTAATTTGGATAAGAAGAGTGCTAAGTGCTAACATAGCTAAAGACTGCATTTGAAGAACCAATGTATTTTACCGTAATCACAAACCTACTACCAACATCACTTAGAACCTTGTGCATCATGACTAAACAAAACATGATGAAGTAGGCCGACACTTTATCATACAATAAAGTAGCTAAGTTTATGAATATATATGATTATATGTTAACCATTATATTAGAACCTTAATGAATACAATGAGTTCAAAAAGAGAATATACCACATCTAATATATTTTTTTCTTCACTTGATCAATAATCTAAAACGAATCTCTGCTGAATAAATAATAAATGAATAATACAAAAATATATACCAAGAGCTTCAAAAGCAAATAATTTCCTCGAACCAAGGATTCAAATGTTCTCATATTAATTTTTCTAATATATAACTTCTGGGCGTAAGCAGCTACAGATAATATTTCCACAAAATAACAGCGTGATATTTTAGGGTAACTTATTAATTGCATATAAACTTCACTGATTTATCAAATATGCGTTTTCAACAAGACTAAATCTGTGGGAATGCAGTTCTTTCTAAACAAAATCCAACAGGCTTCTTAAGAATCTAACCAATCTAAGAAGATAAAAGAGATAGTTTGTAACTCATGAACAGAAGTTTATTCGGCCATTTTTCTAAACACCTAATTTGCAGATAAAACTAACAAGTTTTTTTCTCAAATTAATACATACCTTAAAATTGAAACTACCGATTTCTGAACATTCAGCGAAAAACTAACTCGAGATCCGTTGCCAAAATTGATTCGCCGTAAGCCCGTAATAGGAAGAACATTCTAACAACATCACGGGAGAGAAAAGGAAAAGGAATAGAGGAAACGTCAATTTCAATCCGAGTTTTGAGAGTATTACTGAGTTGGTAACGAGTCAACTCAGCAAATACCATCTCGAGTTAAAAAAACGGAACCGAAGACTCTATTTTTTGGTTAATCTGAATTGATTATTTTCACTATTAATTTTTTATTTTTAAAGTTTGTTTTGTAGCTGATATGGATGTATCCAAATGGAATAAACAATCATTATTTTGAAAAGATCTATTGGTTAATAGCTTACTAAATAGGAAAATACTAAAGGGTTATCAATAAATATATTTAATTCATGAAAATGTCTAATTGATTTATAGTTATTTTACAAAACTTTATTTCAGTTCAAGTAATTAGAATATCCCGACCAATTAGAATAGGCATAAAATAAAATATTGAAAAGGACTAAATGTAAGACAGCAACAATATACTTTTATATATTTTTTATTATAGTATTTTGTTATCATGTTTTCATATTACAACATTTTATTATTATTATTTTTCAATAATGTATAAAGTTATAGCAATTTCATTATATTAAAAACAAGTTTCAATGTTATAGTTGAATATATTTTTTCAAAATACTACCATGTCTAACAATAATTTAAGAGTAAAATGTTCTAATCTCCTTTATAAAAAAAAAAACCCGTAACTATAATGTTGTGATAAAATATTATAATAAACAATAAACGAAAGCATCTTGTCATTCTTGCATTTAACCCTTTTAACAATAGTCTTAATAGTTAATAGTGTAGTTGTCACTTATATCAAAAGAGTATGATGCCGACGTCTTTATAAAGTATAATTGTTCCTTTTAATATAAAATCAAACGCATGGTTATCTTGTTCATAGTTTTCTTAAATATTCTTATTACAATTTATTCTTATTACAATTGCAGCCATACACATCCAATGGAAAGCAGGTGTTTGCACTTAGTCCCCTCCCTCACCAAGGCTCCGGCTCACTGAAACCGGACCTCTCTTGCAAATTCTGTGCCCGAAGACTTATGAACCCAGACCGCTGCACATTCTGCTCCATCGCTTGCAAGGTACTACATATGATTTATTATTAAAGTAATATTATAAAATACTTCCACTAAACTTATCATAATTTATATTAAACTCTCACCCTAACATTAATAGTAACCATATATTTAACTTTTTTTACCATCATTTGATCTAACCATTTTCAACAAATACAGTACGAAATCTCCACCAATAAACCAACAACCAAAGTGCCAAAACCGGTTCGACCCGCACCAGAAAACGGTCGTGATCGTGATCCTGTTACAAATAATGCTCATAGGGTGGCACGTGTGAATCGCAAGAAGCAGCCAGCTAGCACAAGTAGGCGTAAGGGAATCCCGGTGAGGGCCCCGTTTTTCTAAACTGGGCATTGTTCATCGTTTCACAACATCTTGCAAATTTATTTTGTGGGATGTCATAAAAGACCTTTTTTCGTTTGGATTTTCTTTTGAACTTTTTTATGCATGCATTACAAGATTTGGAGCATTGTTCGTAAAAGAATTGGATTTTTATTTTGTGGGATGTCATTAAAGACGGTCTTTTTACATTTGGATTTCCTTCTTCATCTTTTTTATGCGTGATTTACAAAATTTGGAACATTATTCGTAAAAGAATTGGATTTTCTAGACGTACAATTATGAAGCTATTTTTTCTTTCTAGTAAAACAAATTGCTATGTGCATTCGTAACAACAGGCATCATCATCCACTCGGTAAAACCTGTCCCATCATGCTTCATGTGTGGGCCAATGGAATCGCAACATTTGTAACACATAAAAAGTGGCGGGACAACTTCGGAATCGTCAATTCCGCTGCATCGGGTATGCTGCCACACCTCACAAAGATCACACGCCACCATCCTCTCACCATCATCATCCCTAGCACCACATTTACAGTTCACCACCCAATTATCCGCCCCACCTTCATAGTTCAAATCACTCGTAGTCAACAAGTCAACTCCGGAACCACGAACCGAAATCTCCGATCCCGATTCCAACGCCCCAAATATCACCTCATCATCATCCACACCTTCCAATTCCACAATCTCCCGCACCTTCAGATTCTCCATGATGCAATAAGTGTCCCGCATGGCGGCCTCCGCGGCGGCTTTCAAGTCATGAACGGTGGCATGGAGCGGAACCACCAATTCCTCCCCAACTGAATTCTTCCTTTTGTATAATCCCGTTTCTAGATTCAATTCCGTTGTCACTAACGGAATCACACGACAGATAAACCGTAAATACTCGTCGGCATCATCTTGAAACGGCCACTCTTTACTGAAATTTTTACTGTCGAGAACAGTCCTCACCGCAAACACAACAACATCGGAATCGGAATTCAACAAAAGGTGGTAATACAGAAACGTGAGATCTCTATACACGTCGCTTCCCGAACCCGATTTATACTTTGGAATCACCGAGTCAACTCGGTCAGTCTCCTCCGGTTCTTGAGTTATGTTTTCGGGTGTGTCTTGAAGTGAATACTCGAGTACACCGGTGGTGGAATTGACCGCACGCCGGACCACGTAACCGCCTACAATCACGTTATTCATCGATTTCAAGACGTAATCGATCAAACCCGTGTCCCCAATGTGTTGCCTAGCTGTATCCCGGACCTCTTGTCTACTCATTCCATTCCGGTTTTCGGATTTCTTTTCTTTTAAAGCATCAACTACCACTTTAGCAACGTGTTCGAGGCGTCTCACGTGCCATCTGCTATCTAATTTTGCAGCCAAATTGGAGAACTTTCTGCACCTTGCTTGTTTCTCCTTCGATGTAGACTTGTTGACTGAAGTCAATCTTGGTTTTGGTTTTGAATCTTTGATTTGTGGGGTTCTGAATTTGAGTGATAGCATGAATCGGAAGAGGTCACGGATTGTTGCCAATTGGGTATCGCTTAAATTGCGATATCGAGAGATCGTTTTCTTGATTGAACAGTTTTTCAAATCTTGAATGATGTTGTTGAGTTCAAGAGTGCTTAGAATTTGAAGTGCTTGTTCGTATTTTTCCTTTGTAACTCCAAAGCTTCCATGGCAGAATTTGTAGTCCCATCTACCAAACCAGGTGTGTCCATATGATATCCCGTAAAGTAGCCTGAGGTCCATTTTTCTCTTCTTTGAGACATCCACAACGCTTATTTTCCTGGAAATACACAGATTAAATTCAAGATTTTTGGATTAAAGAAAGTGTGACGTGAAATTTAGAAATGGGAAATTTGGGGGATTACCTGGTGTGAAGAGTGGTGCAGATACGATCCCAAAGATCCATGACTTCTCTGCCACATATGAAATTGGACCCACCTTCGATGCCATTGATGCATAAAAGGTGACCGAATCCATTGCTGTGGATTAAACCGTGTAAAATGTGAGTTTGAAGATCAAGAACACCATCTTTGATTGGTTTGTTCCATTCGTTGTCAATAGGGATGATGAAATGATACTTTCGCTTTGAGACAAAATGGTGACTCCAACCTGTTGAAATTGATGTGATTCCTCTTTGTTAAACGCTAAAGAGTTACTGATTCAATTGAATTTCAAATGTAAAACAAGATTAAGATACGGAAACCCTAATCAAAATATTGGAACCCCGTTTAGAAAAATTGAATCGAAAGATTTTTGATACTACGAGTTAACAATTTCGAAATGATAAACCCCAACTGAGAGACCCAAAATCAAGATTGGGATATCCAACAAACGCTTGAAAAAGAAACTAAACCCTTATTAAACTATCACAAACCCAGTTTAGAATTTGAAAATTGAGAATCAAAAACTCCGATTCTTCAGATAAAACCTTCAAAATAAACTAAACCCTTATTAATTATCACAAACCCAGTTTAGAAATTGCAAATTGATGGCCAAAAACTCCTATTTTCCTTATAAAAACTTCAAAATTAGTTCCGATGACTGTTTTCAGTGATCAAAAAAGGGGGAATTCCGAGATGGGATATTGTGAATCTACACGAAAACCCAGGTAAAGTTCATAAAACCGATATGGTAAACAGTAATTAGATGAATGATTAGATATGATTACCTGAGCATCGGCAGTGATCGCAGAGTGGTTGAAGAGAGTTGTTAACACATTCTTCAAAAGTATACAACGGAAGCACAAAACCCCGATTTTCATGAACGAGAAAGGTGCACCATATCGGCATTCCTTCAACTTTGTAATCCTCAGGCTGACCACATTCTTGAAGAAATCTCCTGACATTGTCTCGAAACGAACCGGACAGAGAGATCGGACAACCAGGCTGAAGAAAATTCTGTAATCCGTAATACTTTGCTGATTTCATCTTCCTCTTCTTACCGCTACTATTAGCTCCAATCATCTTGATGATGGGAATAGACATTAATGAACAGCTCCAGCTTTGATTAGCTATTTTCAATCTGAAACCCTCGAAACAGAGTGTTGTTTTAGAGAGAAAGGAGGAGGATAAAGGGGTTTAAGCCGTTTGAGATGAGGATGTAAGTTGTTATTGCAAGTATGAATTTTGAATGTTTGTTGTAAGAGCAATTAACCCGCTCGATTGACAGGTTCATGATCGAACGGTTGAAGCAAGAGAATCGGTGGATGGGTTTCATGACGGCCGTTGGATTTGTTATATAGCAGTTGAGAGCTGTTTGTTGATGTGGGGATTCGACGCCGCGAATACTACTTCCCTGTTCTTTGTTCCATGGTATATAATCCAGAAGTCCAGGTACAGCTCCATTAAATTACCTATAAAAAAATAAAAAAATAAAAAAATGTATAATAATTTCTTGGACTAATATGTTTTTGGCACTAAATTGAAAAAAAAGCCCTGAATTTAATTTTCGTTGACTGTGGACTCAATATTTTCATGGAATTATGGCAAAAAGGCAAAGTGTCGGTTTCAGCAGGTTACAAAGCAAAGACGAACGTTGGAGGTCAGTTGTTAGTTAGGTTTTGTTCAATTCTTCTCTCCAACGTCTGCAAGATTGTAAGCTCCTCCAACACGCACACACAAGGGTATAGAGAATGGGCTTTAAGGAATCGTTGGTCTGAAGATTTGAGATGCAAGTGTGATGAACCTGGGACATTCTCGA